GGGTAGTATATATATATATATATATATATATATATAAGTTAAAGAGAGAATAATCATTAATTTGGGCTTCAGATAAAACACATTTAATTGGGTTCATCTTAGTAACTATAATATATTATCCATATATCAACGGAAAGAGTGTATAATGAGAGTATATGATTGCATATATCAAATCAAGTTGTTCTATTTTCATCAGATATGTTAATAAGGAAAATGAAAATTTTATGCATTTCTCCCGTTTAGATTTTTCTAGACTTTCTTTTATAACTTTGCAATACATATCTCTAACAATAAATCAAAGCATTGTTTCTGTTGCAATTTGTTTGATGTTGAGGTATGTTTCTGTGTAGGCTGACTGGACTATAACAAAGCTCGTACAAAGATCTACAGTTTTGAATAGTACTGTCACCCAGCAGAGTTGTATTTATATGAGTGAAAAGTATGACTAAAATTCACCTTCTCATTATTCTGATATAATAGTTTTTTCTCCAAATAACATTACTGTTTTAAGACTAAATTTTTCTATCAAGATTTGTACATACTTGAAAAATTTACAATCATGTTTTGATTTATTTTAATATATTCACAGTGTACTTACATTTTACTCCAGTCTATGTTTATGAAATTTATAACAAAATTAAATTTGTAAAATTTACTTCAGAATGTTATGAGGTTTTTACATATTCAATGATAAAAGTTGTAATAGACTAAGCCTTCAATTTAAGTAAAAATGGATTAATGAAAGACCCTATATACAAATTTCCATTATGTTCCAAAACTTCAGACAACATTGCCACCTGGCCATCAGAAGACTGAAGACTTCTTATTATCTTTCCCTTTTTATCAAGTTCAACCACCATTCCATACCTTGGCATTAGACTAAAAAAGAATCTTCCACTCTCCACCTGTGATAGATAGGTTGTCATCAGAATCGACTAAAAATAAGATAAACTATCTGAACATTTCAAGGTAACCTCTGTGAGAGATGCTGTTTGATAAAACAGTTCATGTAACCAGCTAATATAAATTTACTTTTTATGATAACAAAGGTCACAAAACAGCACTCCTAATTTGAAAGTGAAGTAATTTAGAGAATTTGTAATGATGGAATCAAGACTATATTAATTTCTTGGTGAAAATTTTGTTGTCTATACATGGTATTTATGAGTCTCAAAATTACTCTCTTTTCTCATTATATTTGATTTACTCTTAACATTCTTTGCTCTTATTCAAAGTTATTGAAGGTAATTAGGATTTCACTTATACAATTCTTCTTTAATAAACTTATATAATTCTGTCATAAATACTACCAGATTCTGTCACGTATTATGTTTACTTACACTAATGTTGTGGCCAAACCATGATCTCCTCTCCCAAAATTTTATTATGAACTTAAGATTGAAAAAAGTGTTTTCTTGTAAAAACAAATTACTATTCTAGCTGTAAACTATTCTTAATAGCAAATATTTGTTAAAAATATAATCGATTAAAGATGTATTTTACGATATACTACTATTTTGTGAAAAGTTGGGTTCTGAATGGTCAAGTTTAAGCTTGTAGAATCACAATAGTAGCTAATAATATGTTTATACACCATTTTGATATTCTCTCTAGATTTGTGCAAGTTATGTTACATAGAAACCACCACAAAATTATACCTTGAATACACAAAAGTAATTTTTAAGAGCTTCCTTACCATTCCTAATGAACAAGAGTGTTGCTTTATCAAAAAACTATACAACTTTTGTTTTGTGGCTCTGACAAACTTTGTATTTAATCAAATTTTAGTTACTTGGAGAAGTCCTTTTACATCAATTTTATGCTCATGATAACTTACATAGACCTAGGGAAGCAAATAAATTTTAACCCTTTTCTCAAGGTTCAAAGGCCATGTCATCACTATTGTTGACTTGTATTCAAACTTTTATTGAACTACTATTTTATAATTTATGTCATTAACTGTGATCTCACACTGTATAGTATAATTCAAGTGTTAGTATTATTTATTATTTAATTTCTTACTTTTAAAGTAAATAGTTAAAAAATACATCTAAACATCGATTTTTGTATGTCACGTGGTATGTTGAATGCAGCACTGGTTCAAATTAGATGTTTGTGATGTCAAAATACAAATTTTATAGTTTTGTACAAATTAGAAATGCAAATTACTTTTATTGACAAGCTAAAATATAAAATGAGAACCTTCTATCTCTCTATTGTGTGAGATATTGTTCATGTCCTGAATGAAATGCAGTAGCCCCACTCACCTCTTTCCATTTTTAGAAATGTCCCTTATACATGCATAGTTCTATATAAATGACATGTGAATAACCAATCGAAAGCTCAGAATATCCCCCTAGTGGCTTTCTCAGTCATTTTAAAGTTTTAGGACACCATCTATTTCTTTTAAACCAAGATTTCAAGAAGGTAAGTTGTGTCTTCAGTCTGCTCCAAATTTCATATTTTTTTAGATTGAAATACAGCTTGTTTGCTAAGCTTGATAAATTATAATGGAATATAGTAACTTATGATTTATTGGTTATTCAAATGTATATATAAAACTTAAAGAAAATTATCACGTGAAATTTTAAAAGGCTTAGCCAGCTACAACAAGCAGCAACCGAGTACAAAGGTCGGAATTAAAAGAGATAATTGTTCGCTTTCTTCTTCATTTACCGTTCTTGTTTTAAGAAAAATAAGACTAAGAAGTTATTTGCAAATAGTAATAATCTATATACATATATAATGTATAATAATTGAAATGTGACTGTATTTTATAAAATACTAGTCCACTAAAACACAATCAAGTCAGGTCATTTTGTAGAGACTAAAGGTCAGATTCATATTATTTGATACTGTAACGAGTGCACGTGCAGTGCATCATTGTAAATTCTGTATTCTTAGCCAGGCACGGCTGAAAGGTTAATATAATAGAAAATATATATATATATATATATAAATGTATAATGTTATGAGATTTAAACTATTTAGTCTAAACATTTGTGTTATCATGTTATAATTTATAGTCATTCTAGAACAAAAAAGGCATAATTTATATTTATTTCCTAATAAAAATAACAGATAAAATATAAAGTTTTTTAAAAAATGTTTGGTAACTATCTGGATGTTAAAAGAATTTCACATGTGAAATTTGAAAATTTTCTGATGCATAAAAGTACTTTTAATCTTAAAATGAAAATTAATTTGCATGTTGAATAAGCAACATGCAAAAAACATGAGAAAAACATTGCTTCAGAAAAAATCAAAATCTACATACTTATAGGACCTTTCATCTCTCATTTAAAATAATTTCATCCAATAGTTTCATTTTTGTAAAGAACTTTCACGAGAGTTGCATACCTACTTACTATGTGAGTAGGTCATAGTCATAGCATTAAATTACAGCAATATAGATGAATAGATAAACAAAACTCAAAGAAACATTTTTCCATTTTTGGAAAATACTTATTAAGAAAGTTTTGAAAAGATACATCTAAAAATGTGTAATTGTCATTTTCACTATGAAATTAAATAATCATAAAACTAAATCAATTATATATAGTTAACTTTAAAATTAATTTGTTAAATAGCTTTTTCAAACAAAAACAGTTTCTGAAAATGCAATTAATTCTGATGAGGTAAAATAAAAAGAACAGGACACTTACCAAATGAGCACAACTCTTTACAGCTGGAGATGAAACAAATTGGGAAAAATAATGCAAAACAGTGCCTGTTGCATGTAATAACCTAGCCACTAGTGTCCTTATGGCAGGATAGGGAGCCAGCCAGTCAATTAGTGTTGGAGAACCAGCATGACGGCCAAAACATAAAGCCACCCAGTAGCCACCATTTTTGCTTGGTCGAATATTATCTGGTTCGCCAGGAAGTCTTGCAAATACTGTTTTTTTACCTTTATTGGGTCCTCGAAAGTAGTATCTGAAGATTTAACAAATATTATCAAAACATTTAACCATTTATGCTTCCCAGTGCAGTGGGAAATGTACGTTCTAGTCACAGTGAAAGGGTTAAACAAATGTAAACTAACATATAATCAATTAAAAATTATTAATTATAACCTGTAGTCATTTCTTTAAACACTTTTAAATAAGGTCATTAAATTAAGTAAAAAAATACTAAGGACAGTCATGTTTAAAAAAATACTATCAAGCATACATGACAATTCCTCTAACATTACATACTTCACTATTTTTAAACAGCTGCTCATCTGCCAAATTGAAATCAAGGATTTAATCAGTAGACAGATTTGAATTCTTGTACATACGTTTTCTTTTCTCAAAATAATCATTTATGTTTGAATTTTTTTTGCGGGATATTTGGGAAGCATGAGGGTCTTTCCACAAGAAGAAGAATGTCCAGTTTTTATGTCCAGTGAGCAGTTTGAAGAAATTTTGGCAATAATGTGATTATTCAAACCAGTTAAAGAATATGACAGAAGAAAAAAAAAATGTTACAAACATTTTGATAAGTGCTGGAAGAACACAAAAAATTAAGATAGGTATTTGATAAATGAATAAAAATTTAGAACATAGCAAAAATACTAAAGAGCAAAACCAAGAACAGTGCAGAGGAACTGCAGAACTGACAAGATCTAGTTATTAAAAGTAACATAAATGTACAATAGATGCAAATATTACTGTTGAAGACACTCCAGAAGAAGAATGATAGATAATAACAACAGTTCAGTGGATAGTATTAAAAACATGAGTAGAGAAGTAGATTCAATATAACCAGTCTAAAACTCTACTAAACAAAGATGTTGAAACATTCGCTTTGAAGGTGATTAACAAGTTCTTAATATGAAACTTTAAAAGTCTGAAAATAAAAATTAAAAATAAATCTAAGGAACAACCCTTAGTTGTTCTTTAGACAGAAAGATAGAACTGGACAGCCTCTCAACCAGCTAGCCATGCGTGTGGATGAGAGACAAATATTTGGTACTAAAATAAACATGAATAGCGCTAAAATCTTTACCGTATTATACGTAATTTGTTACTTTCTGCAATGAGCAAGCTCTTGCCATCAGCAGCGAGCTGAATACCATTTGGAAAGTACAGGTTTTCTAGAAGTACTTCAGTTTCCTTGGTTGATGGGTCAAATTTTATTATCCTGAAATATAATGAATGTTCAAATGTAAATATGTTGCTACATTGATATTTAATTTTGTAGTAAGAACTCGCCAAATCACATTATGTTTTAATAAACTAAAAACTATGTAGTTTCATAATCTTTCTTGTATGTATGCTCAAAAACGTAAGACCTGTCTTACTGTTATAAAGACAACACTGAATGATGTAAATCCAAGTTAGTAATACATATTATTATTATTTTTTTTAATTTACAGCTTTCCACAAGTTAAAAGAAATACACTATTTTATATTCATTTCCATATTATCAAAGATGAAGGGTGTAAAGCATTATCAAGAAAACAATTATCATACATATCTAAGAATACTAGTCCATTTGGCACAACCCAAGGGTTAGCTCAGTCATATTTACTTGTTCAGAGTATTGCATAATACAGAAAGAATATGGCAAACACACTGTCCCAGTGTCATATATAATTACTACTTACCTATGAGACTGCACAACTTAAGTAGAACATAAAATTTATCAGTGATAAGTGACTTCACCTTCCATGGTTATCATGCTCCAAGACATTAAAGATAGCCCTGTTCAGTGGCCAGCGGGTGCTAGCATCAGTAAAGTATATTATTCCTTTGTCATCAATTGTAAGATCATTAGGAAACACAAGCTTTTTCTCATTGATGTATTCTGTGTATGGCAACAGTGGTGTTACTGCTCCTGAGAATGAAAAATTATTAGTCAAATATATTAGACCACAGTAACCTTTTATAAAGATCTTATCACATCTGTAATGATTATTTTTTTAACTGAATTTTCTAATATGTCCAAATCTTTCACAGGTACAGAAAAATATGTACACTTACATTTCTTCAAAATCATGTCCATTTAAACAAACTCACCTTAGAGGTCTTGCACATGTACATCTTATTTTTATGCATTCTCAAATAACATTTATAATTTTTTACATTTGCTCTAATTTTCATCCATTTCTAAAAACACAGTGTTCTTTTGTTTTTTACTGTCTAAATATTAGATTATTTATGTATATAAAAAAAACTGGTGAAATATTAAAAAAATATTTACATAGAACAGCAGACTACTTACCAGTTCTTACATTAACATGCATCAATCCATAATAAGCATCAAGAACGTAAAGATTTCTATTTTTATCAAACCTCATCCCAAGTGGTCGGCCACATATTTCCTCTTCCCAAGGTCCTTCTGTTGAAAATTAAATAATTAAATGCACACACACATATATATCCTCCAATACTCTTTTAATTTATCATTTTTGTTTCTGTCATGTAACATTTTAAAAGAAGCTGGTAAGATTTTTACATTAATTCTACAAGGCTTCTGCCCATAATTTTCATTTATTAAGGGAGGTCAACACATACATTCCTTTTGTGAAAATATATCTATTTTCAAATTTTGCAAGAAACCAACTGAAGAATTTCAGAGAATTATCACTTTTTTGTACAGATTTGTTCAATACTATCAATTTTGAATGACTTTCAGCTATTTCAAATCAACAACGAAAAATAATGAAACTATATTTTCAAAATATTCCCATAACTTTTGTGGATAATATTTACTGAAACAAGATAGACTTATAATGTTACAGAAAACTAACTTTTCAAATGTATCCTCTAATGCTAACAAAGTCAGACAACATGCTCAAATGTTTATTAAGCCTAGTCAACACTTCCCAAAAGTTTTGTTAATAGGACCTCCATATCTTTAATTTCTTTACTAGGTGTCATTTTATCTAAGCAGTATTAAATCAGGCTTTCATGTACATTTTCAAAGGAAATTCAGTCGTCAAATGGTTAGAATTCAATTTTGGTTTCAATCTTTTAGTTAAATTCACAGAATCTGACCACTCACAGAGCAAAAATTAGTTCATTGGCAATTATTATAAGTGCATGGTGAAAACAATACCCATGATAATTGATTTCATTAAATGGTACTTTAGACAACCTTTTGATGATGATAAAAAAATTACTGTATCATCTAAAGAACAAGTATTTAAATATAATTGAAAAAACTAGTGCAACTCATAACATTTCATTAGTACATAATTACATCATAAAAGATTTACAAAACTGTCATAATTATAACATTTAGGCTCTCACTACTATGTATATAAAACCAGAATAATAATTTTGAGATTTATCAAATACACCAAAAAGTCTAAGCTGTCAAACAATTAATTTTTTTTTAAATCTTATCAATTTCTCATTTTTACATGAAAAAATAGTTTGAACATTTTATTCACATTTACTACATAAAAAAATATATAAAAAGAAAGTCTCATGAGAACATGTCCTTTTTAATACAAGTGTATCACTTCTGTTAACCGAATCTTCAGAAAAAAAAGTTGAAATACCACAGTCTCCTCCAATACGTGCTATCTTCTCAATCTGTTTTCCAGTTATACGAACAATATTTCCATCTGCAGTTCCAGTATACAAGACATCTATACATAAAACAGCAACAAACAAATATCACTGAACTCTTCCAGTGTATAATTCACACATGTAAAAACAGCAATAAGAAGCGTTGTACATCAATAAATCAGTATATGTGGCATCTCCGCATAAAACATCAACAAGTGTCATACATCAATGAATCAGTATAAGACGTCTTCACAAGAAACATCAAAAAGTGTCATACATTAATGAATCAGTATAAGACATCTTGATATGAAACATCAAAAAATTTTGTACATCAATGAATCAGTATAAGACATCTTGATATGAAACAAAAAAAAAATCAGTATAAGACGTCTTCACATGAAACATCAAAAAGTGTTGTACATCAATGAATCAGTATAGGATATCTTGTTATGAAACAAAAAAAATCAGTATAAGACGTCTTCATATGAAACACCAAAGAGTGTTGTACATCAATGAATCAATATAAGACATCTTGATATGAAACATCAAAAATGTACATCAATGAATCAGTATAAGACATCTTCACATGAAACATCAAAGTGTCATACATCAACGAATCAGTACATATGACATGTTCATATGAAACATTGCTAAGAAGTATCATAGATTAATAAATCAGTAAATGAGATGTCATCATACAAAACATCAACAAGAAATGTCATATATTGTGAACCATTCCAGTGAACAAGACAGCTATACATAAAACATCTAGTACCAAACAAGAGTTATACAAGATGAAACATCATCAAAAAGCATCATACATCAATAAACAGTTCCAGCATGTAAGACATAGATTCAGACAAATACATAAACACTAAAAAGATACATCATACATCAATGAATACTTATAGCATACAATAATGCGTCAATCTTCTTTCTATAATGGACATAGTGTGTATATATCTATCTATATATGTACGTGTCCAAAATCATAAATACAATTTGGCACCACAAACAAAAATCCATATAAAAATTTCCTATTTTGTGTATTCAAGATTCAGACAATTATATAAAAACTGTGGTGTGTGCAATAACCATTTCTTTATAACAGAACACAATTTTAAATAAAAGTACTCTCCTCACAACAAGAACATGACTTTCACTAGGACTGTACATGAGGGTTTGAATATATCTTTATTGACATAATTTGTATATGTAGTACTAAAAAATAGTTCTTAAAAAAGTTATTTTTTTCAATAAAGGGTACCACTTTTAATACATATATTAAAACATTACAGTTTATATCAGCACAATCTGAACACTTTTCCCATGCAGTACCTTCCAGTAAAATCTTCTTTTGGAAAAATATCCATTTTTTCTAACTTTTGTTCAATGAGATATGAATACTATGATTAGTAATTACTAGCACAAAATGCCACCTATTTGGTGGCGTTTCTGCTAGTTTATAAAACACTACTAATAGGGATAACATTTAAAAGAACTACTCAACTACATGAGACATGTATACGTAAAAGAGAAATAAGAAGTATCATAAACCAATGAACAGTTGAAGAGCATATGACATCTGTACATACAATAGCAACAAAAAATATTACATATGTAAAACAAAAACATGAAGTATGATATATCAGTGAACTTTTCAAGTGAACAGGACATTAATATATAAAATAACAAGTACCACATCAAAGGAAATGTTTTCAGTCTACAAAAAATACAAATCTATTAACAAAGTCAATGGCACCCTGACAGCTGACAAGTACAAGCACATTCTGATCCTCCATGCCATTCCCATAGGAACATGATTCAACACTAGGGGTAAAGTGATAGCTTGTCAGTAAAGAGGCCAATGGACTATTCACAACCATGGTTTAAGTCTATATAAAGTTCCAATATTACATTCTTGACTGTATGGGGTTATTAAAAAAACTGAAAAAGGCAACCAAAAAACTTGAATAAATTATGGTGAGTAATACAGGACACTTGGAATAATATTGTAATGCTCTGTATAAAGCAAAGGGTTCATATACAAACTATTAGTGCAATGTAATGTATTCACTTTTCTTTTGTATTTTACATGATAATATTTTTTTACCTATAATAATTTCATGATTAGTTGACATAACTCATTGTATGTTAATCATGTAAGTACATTATATATTTTCATATACATAATATTATTACGTCTCCATTCCGTTAGTTAATTTTCCATAAATTCGTTCCGATGAAACTTTAGCGACACAAGTCCTTTCTTAAATAAAACTGGTTTATTCTTTCTGAATATAACATTGCGATACACTTAATTTGAACAGTCGCGCTTTAACAAACGCTATAATTCTCAACGAACATCTCACGTGCTCGACTTCAACAATACTCAGTTCAATTACACACATGCATTCCATCACGTTGTGACCGTCTTATATATACCAGACTACCCCCAATCTAGTAGTCTCCCGACAATTCATGAAGGTTCGAGAAGGACGTGACGTGATACTAGTCACGTGACCTCGCTGACGCAACACTGCTCCCTCCTTAGTATTGTTCAT